GGCCGCCCTTCAGGCGCTTTCTCTCCTGGCCGGTTCCGTGCGGCCGGGGCTGACCCCGTGCTCTCCTCTCGGTGGGCCCCGAGCTGTGGCTGGCGGTGGCTGAGGGCAGTCGGCCGCTTTGGGAGCGCCCAGACCCTCGCTGTGCTCCGTGAGGAGCCGGCAGCTCCCGTGCCACGACGTGAGTGCTCCAAACAGACAGGGAATTCTTTATTCCCTTCAAACCTGCTCCGCACCAGCTTTAAGTAGTTACACACACTCTCCCTTTGCGTTTATCATTACACATTAAACAAAAATACTGCAACTAGATTTGGAGTGAGGTTTTTTTCTGTTGACATCTTCTAATGAACTTCCACAGATTGAGTAAATCAGTCACTTCTGTTGAGGCAGTTTCATTTTCCTGTTTTCCTAAGTCCATGGAGGGTTTCACATGCAGTACTTGTTTTCAAATTGCACCCTCTGAAGTTTGACTGTGTGCTCACCAGAATGTGACTGATGGGGATATAATAGAAGTATTTTGGAGTTCTTTTTTAGAGATGGTTCTCTGTCAATGACCACTCAGATTTTAAGGATAACCATCACAATGCACATAATTCATATTAATCAAGTTAATAAAAACACTTTTAAAGTGCAGTGGTTGCTGTCCTGAGAATTGTGTTGCAGGCCTGTGTTGGAACATGTCGAGGTGTTGACTAAAGACACAAAAGCTGTAGCTTGGAAGAAGGGACCCTTCTTCCCCTGTTCTGTCAGGTTCTCCTGCCTGCTCTGCGTTCTCCCTGATCCTTTCAAGCTGCTGACCTTGCATTTTGTGTTTGGCTGGAAGAACAAGGCAAATACTTTCCTTTCCAAGCCAGTGCAGCTGTGTGAGTGAATTGTTAGGTGCTCATGGTGGGGCTGGGCTGCAGTGACAGCCCCAGCACGGCCTTTGGGACAGGCTATTGTTACCTGGCAGCTGCTGGCCACCTTGTGTCCTGCTGTCCCTGGCTTTGTGCCAGCTGTGTCCCAGGGCTGGGAGCTGGGCCCTCAGGGTCCTGTGTGAGAGTGGGCACACGGCTCTCGGGCTGCTC